GGGCCTGGAGATCTCCTGGAATTACCAACTGGTCTCAGACTACAGAGATCAGTTCCCCTGGAGAAAACGGCTCCTTTGGAGGGTGGACTCCATGACTTTATACTCTGCTGAGGTCCCTCCCGTCCACAGGCTTCACCCCTAAAAATCCCCAGACATGGTGCTGGAGCAATTCTGTATCACTGCAAATGAAAGTTCTGTCTTTCCGGAGGCAGGAAGGGGGGGGCACGTGTGCAAATCATGGAATTTCCTCCCTTGCATGCCTGATGCACCCTGTCTCCAAACATAGAGGAAATTGTCTCTCTCTGCCGGTGGCAGAATGACGGCATTGCATCTAATCCTTTTATTGTCTGCTAAGGGCTATTTTCTTCATTAAAAAAACAAAAAGACAACTAGACTTTTGGGGATTTTAGCACACTTTTGCAACGGGTTTGCGGTTCCTGAGAAAACTGAAACAGACGGCTCGTCATCAGAGAGCGCAAAAGCAAGGTTTTCCAGAATCTGAAAAGATCAGAGTGAATAGTGTCTTTTAGGATGTCCCCAATTGAATTGTCCGTGTCGTATTGAGCCGAATGTGAGTTGAGATTTTAGAATTTTAACTTTGTCTGTTTGTAAATATGCTTCAAATGTTTCAAATATGTTTTAATTGTGAAGGCCAGTGGCCATGAACAATTGGGACCCCAAAGTGTAGGCTTTTGTCCACGGGCTCGCTTACTTGGAGGTGCCCTGCCACTAACTGCATGGACCCTGTCCCCTGCTGATAGCCATCAACAGGCCGCTCTTTCCTCCGACTCCTCCGAGCTCCCCCGCCCGCCCGCTGTCATCCAGCTAGTCCTGGTGCCCGTGCAACATCCGCCTTCATCTTTCCATGCCCGTAGAGGGTAGATCTTTCTGGAAAGGGACTGATTTGTCATCTTTGCTTGTGATGCATCAAGTTGCATCAGATCCCGGCTAGACGGGACTGGTCGACTTCATGCTTGCCTTCCCATTTTTCCAGAATGCTGGCTTTTAGACAGTAGAAGAAAGATGAGGCTAACACACATGAGAACAAGAAGCCCAGCATTTTAAAGAAAGATAATGAAAGGAAGAAGACCCCATGCCTCTTTGGATCAATGGATCAGTTGAAACATCACCTTTGTTGACAGGGCAGAATTTCCCAGTTTTTGGTGGGAGCAATATTTTGACTTTGAGCACTTGAGCTCCGAGGGCATCAAGGTGACTCCTGCTCCCAGTCTGGTTCAGCTTGCCTAAACACACTGGTGGGGATCGTTCTCCCAACCTTCAAAAAATACTGTGTGAGCAGACACAAGTCCCTGCGACTGCGAAACAGCCTCCTGTTTCATGGTCACGCTCGATACTGTGGTGTGCAACTTCCCGACTGTGGAAATCGTCTTCTCCAATGGGAGCCAGGGCACCATCCCCTGGCTTGGTGCCTTGTTGGGATTCTTTTTGAGTAAGTCAGCAGAGTATTAAGAGACTGAGTCCATGGTGTGTATTAAAATATAAGTTTACTATAAACCTAACATGGGAAAAAGGTACACAGGATATAAAATAACAAAGAGCTAATATGCCTACATCCTTGCAGCTAAAAGGTAAAACGGGAAGAGCCAAATGGCATCTCCTTCTCAGTCAGAACAAAGAGAGGAAGGAGAAACCAATATGTGAAATACTTGACACCTTGGTTTGCAATCAGACTAGCAAATTAGCTCCAACGTTCCCGGGCATTCTCTTGTCTAAACAGATTGGTTACAAACAAACATGTGACTTAACAAACATCATTAATCCTGTAAATACTGAAGTGTTTTGACTTGTAACACCCAACATGCCTCCTTGGACCCTGTAGAATGGACAAGGGGCCAGCCTTCCTTTCTCTTGTTGAAGGGCGGGGTTGTACGATGGAAGGGAAAGGGTTAAGGGGAGGGGCTGTGGCTCACTGTTAGAGCCTCAGCTTTGCATGCAGAGGCTCCCAGGTTCAATTCCCAACATCTCCAGTTAAAAAGACCAGGCAGTGCAAGACCCCTGCCTAAGACCCTGGAGAGCCACTGCCTGTTGGCCTGGGATGAACCATTGGTCTGATTCAGTAGAAGGCAGCTTCATATGTTCATATGTTAAGTTCAGCGACCGTCCACTGATTCCATCCGGGAAGTGCCCCTCTGCATTTGTATCACGCAGAGGCTCAGGAAAACTGTTTACCTTCTAGAATGTGGGTCTCCCTGCCCCACCCTCCCCTAGATTCCAGGGTCAAATGTGCCAGCCATAGTTTCTCCTTGCAGCTTGGCAGATAGCATCCACCAGTGAGAGGGACCTCCTGGCTTAGCCCAGCCATGTCTGGCGAGTGTTTTTCATTCTCTTCTCTCCCCCACCCAAGGAAAGGGGTATAAGAAAAGGGACATTGTGTCTTAAGCAAGCTCGAATGGCTCTCCAGCATCCTTCGTGTCCCTCTAGGATGGGGCTGTGGATGCACTAGGCTGAGCATGCACAATAGACTTCTTAAACTGTTTTTCAAAGGGTCGGACTGAAGACTGACCCCCAAAAAAGGAGCTCTGGTCCCTTGTGGCAACTCACCCATGCAAGTGGCAAATCCTGGCTTCCATTCCTTTCTGCGCCTCTTTCTAGGACTTTTTCCCCTCCTTTTCTCCCCCTTGACAGTTGAAATTTATCCAGCAACTGACCTTTAGATTTTTTTTTCCTAGCACCAAAGGCTGGAGGAATTTAGAATACGAATCTACACCCGAGCACAAGGCTCTGACTTTGCGTCCTGAATTTATGTATTTATTTATTGCAGCTTCATTGCTGTGGAGAACATAGACAGCTACTGCGTGATCATTTCCTCCAAAGCCGTCTATTTCCTCAAGAGCGGGGACTACGTGGACCGCGAGGCCATTTTCCTGGAGGTCAAGTACGGCGACCTCTACCATTGCCTTATCTCGAAGGACCACGGGAAGGTCTACGTCCAGCTGACCAAGAGAGCCGTAAATTCAAGCAGTGGCGTGTCCATGCCTGGTCCATCGCATCAGAAGCCCATGGTGAGGAGAGAGGCTGCGCTGTTGCCTTCAGTCGAATATTCTCTAGATGTCGGGGAGGGGATTTTAGTTGGGGATATTTTTTCCCCTTCTTTTCCCAGAATCCAGTGCTACTGTGGGAGGTGGGGTCCTGACTTGGTACTCAGATACCTGCTCCCCTTCAAGACTCAGGACGGGCTACCTAAAGCAACAAAAAAACGTTCCCTGAACCTCTCAGACATCAATGGGGTGGTTCCAGAAGGAGCTGAACAATCAGGAGCTCAAACAAATTTAGTTACCCCAGATAAGATGGGCTTAGGTCTGGTCTTATTGGCACCTGACACCCCCAGCCACCATGAAACACTACAGAACACCTAAATTTAGTAAGAACATAAGAAGGGCGGGCCTGCCGGTTAAGACCAGTGGCCCATCTGGCCCAGCATCCCGTTTCACACAGTGGCCAATCCGATGCCCCGGAGGGCCAAAGAGAGGGCACAGAGGCCGAGGATTCCCTGATATTGCCTCCTAGCGTGAGGACTCAGAAGTTTATTGGCTCTGAATGTGAAGGTTCCCATCAGTTGCCATGTTTAACTGCCTTTAAAGCCGTCCATGCTGTGGCCATCATTACGTCTGCTGGCCAGTGAATTCCACAATTTAATTAAAGAAGAACATGTCTTAGAGTCGCAACCGACTCAGGGTGACCCCATCCATGGGGTGTCCCGTAAAAAAAGACCATCAGAGGTGGTTTGCCATTGTCTTCCTCCTCGTAGCAGCCCCAGACCTCCTTGGTGGTCTTCCATTATAGTACTAACCAGAGCAGCTCCCCCCCCCCCCCCCTTCCAAGTTCTCAACCGTTCAAGCGTTTGGGCTAAGCTGGACCGGTCAGGCTGCTTTAATTTCCTTTAAGACTTGGATCCTCATCCAATTTTTTTTACATAAGAACATAAGAGACGCCAATGTTGGATCAGGCCCATCCAGTCCAACACTTTGTGTCACACAGTGGCCAGAAATACCAGTGCCATCAGGAGGTCCACCAGTGGGGCCAGGACATTAGAAGCCTTCCCACTGTTGACCCCCCCAAGCACCAAGAAGACAGAGCATCACTTGCCCCAGAGCCCCTATCTATACCTTGTGGCTAATAGCCACTGATGGACCTCTGCTCCATATGCTTATCTAATTCCCTTTTGAAGCCATCCATGCTTGTAGCCACCACCACTTCCTGTGGCAGTGAATTCCATGTGTTAATCACTCTTTGGGTGAAGAAGTACTTCCTTTTATCCGTTCTAACCCGACCGCTCTGCAGTTTCATGGAGTGCCCACGAGTTCTTGTATTGTGAACATGTAACTGGATGATTTACATTTCTCCTAGCAGGACTGTTTAGGGCACATACCGATGATTATTTGAGAGCTGCTCTTTATTTCACGGCAGGTGCACGTGAAGTCCGAGGCCCTCGCCGTGAAGCTGTCTCAAGAAATCAACTATGCAAAGAGCCTTTTCTACGAACAGCAGCTTATGTTAAGATCCAGCGAGCACCACGAACAACTGGAGTTGGACTCGTGACCCCCACGGCCTCCCTGAGTGGGGGATGTTTCCCCCACTGCTCATTAAAAGGCAGCGAGAGCTGGCAGTTGATAGAAAGTGAGTTCCGCGAGGCTAATGAGCCCGAGGTTGTGGAAACAAAGGTCCTCTGTGACATGGGGCACTTAAGATTGAGAGTGAAGACCTGTTTGAAATACATTTAGCTATAGGAAGAAGCCCTGTATTTTCTTACTGTTTGAGTGTGTATAAATACTTATACATATATATATATATGTATGTATGTACAACTGTGTTTAGTGTATTTAAGAAAATTACACAGCAGGTTGATAGGGTGTATAAAGGTCTATTTCATGTAAAGAAATTAAAGAAAGGGTTTTATTGAGTCTCTTATTGCACTGATTTGCAAGCCTTTGAAACAGCACATTTTGTCCGAAGAGGTGAGAAGGGACTGTAAATGGAGGACGGCCAGAAGGCCTTAGGGGGTCAGTTTGGTTACAGGCATTTGTGGGTGATCTGCAAAGGTCGTCATGAGCAGGGCCTATTGCCTTCAGTGCCCTGCTAAAGCCTGGGTCTTTCTTGTCTTCCTGTTTACATGATGGATTTACTGCCCTTTGCCCAAACACATTGGAAGCACACAGATAGGGTCTCCCTCCAAATGTTGCAATGGACAACGGTCTTCGCTCCACGAAAACATCCTGCCGTTGGCAAAACCAGCATGTACCAGGAAATGAGAATCTTTTGCAACATGGAAAACACACACACACCCTCCGGCTAAGTACTTTTATGAGAGTGGGGGGAGGGATTGACAGTAACACTTCGAAATTTTAACGGGAATACTTTTTGTAGGAAAGATGCAGTATTAAGCCCTTTTTAAAAACCTAGAGTGGTGGAAGCATTGGCCTTTAAGCAGGAAACAAGCTCAGGTCTCAGACCAGGAGAAAAGACTGGATCTAAGAAAAAACAATAACTGCCCTTGCTGGGAAGTAAACCCAATTTTTTTTTAATTATATTGCAGACCTCTTGCTTAAGTCAGAGTTTAATTGACAGTACTGCCGTTTCTCTGTCTTCACGTTCTTTTGATGACGGCATTATACGAAGGGGCTAGGCATTTCTACACATGCTCAGTTACTTCTTCTACCCTCCAGCTCCCCCCACCCAGGCTACAATCCCAGGGAAACCACGCCCCTTAATCTGTCAGTTTCAAGCAGGTTTCGCTATCCTGGCTTAAAGTGTAACTGAACAGGCTGCAACAGGCTGTTCTTTTGTAACTCTGTGTACCAGGCCGAACACTGCATCTCGACCACCCTTTCAGCCCTCAAAAGTCTGGCCTCTACAAGTGGCACATCCACCTGCCTCAACAGACGTAACCTCTGGGTCAAGAGATGGCAACAAAGATGCTTGCCTGGTTCCTCTGAGAAGACAGGTCTGCCGGGGTGGGGGGGGGGGAGCAGGTCATAGCACGGGAAGTGTTTCGGGCTTGTTTCTAAGACATAACTCTCCCAAAGCAAGGCTTCTGCATCTTCCCTCTGAATTATTATGACAGCTGTTCTACCCGAGGGGCATTTCCACGCGCCCGAAGGGGGGTAACATACAGCGGCATCATCTCAATGTCATGCGCGGCACAGACTCGAAAGTCTGTGCGAATGCCTCTCCCCTCCGTGAGGGCTTTGAATGGATCGGTGCTTGAATTGCGCAGACGGTTCTCGACGCGGCCGTGTACACATCTCTGTATATCTTCTGTGTGTTACCGTTTTCTTCCTTGGCAGTCTGACTCAAGTGCTTTAGCTGAATCATTCAGCCCCTGTTGCAGTTCACTGCTGCTTGCTGAGGAAACGGGGTCTCAGAATCGATAAGTTTGATCCATGTTGAGGGTGCAAAAGAAAAGATGACATGAATAAACGGCTGTATGAATCGGCTGGAGAAATGTCTTTGTTGTCTGTCTCTTTTTATTGATGTTATCTCTGGTCACCTTCTGCGCTTGGACTCAAGGCGGATTGCGACACAGTGAGTCGATGCCACCGACAGGATGGGACGTTCAGTGAACCCTGTGGGGGGGAAATTAGGGTCCTAGAACTGAGCAGAAGTAGAATCGGAGAATCACCAGGTGGGAAGGGGCCACACAGGTGCATCTGGTACCTGGAGCATCATTAACTGCATCAGCCCACAACAAATGGGGAGGGCAGGAGACTCTTCTCAAGGTGGAAAGTAGCACGAAGGTGGTCAAAGTAGAGAGGAGAGCAGCCAGTTCCTTCACATGCATTCTTGGGAGCCAGTTTAGTGTAGTGGTTAAGTGCGCGGACTCTAATCTGGGAGAACCAGGTTTGATTCCCCCACTCCTCCACTTGCAGCTGCTGGATGACCTTGGGCAAGCCGTAGTTCTGATAAGAGCTGTCCTTGAAAGGGCAGTCCTTGAAAGAGCTCTCTGAGCCCCACCTACCTCACAGGGTGTGTTGAGGGGAAGGGAAAGGGATTGTAAACCGCTGAGACTCCTTCAGGTAGTGAAGAGTGGGGTATAAATTCAATCTCTTTCTCCTCCTCCACTTCGCCAGGTTGGTGGTATCTGCTTTCTCTCCTGTATTTCATTCATTGCTTTGCGGGGAGGTGGTGTTCATATATCTTCAAAGCATTTGTAATATGTTGCTGTCAAGCCATGAGGCCCAGGAGCTTTATCTTTTTTTAGTCCTTTAATAGCATGATTGATTTCTTGTACCGCTATCACTTGATTTAATATTTTTTTCTGTGCTCAGACGTAAGCCGATATCTCAAGTACATACTTTTTCAATTTCTACCTCCTCTATGGATTCTTCTTTGTAAAGGTTCAGGGGGAAAGTTTTTCTTTGTTCCAACATTTCATGTTCTGAAAAGAGCATTTGATTTCCTTTCTTAATTCCTGGTATCCTCCCCCCCCCCTTTTTTTTCCCCTCAGGCAACGTGCTAGATATCTTCCCGGTTTTATTTGCACATTCAGAATGTCTTTGTTTTAAATATTTCAATTTCCCCCCCTGTGTTTCTTTTACTTCTGGTAGATCCAATGGATTCTTTTTAATGGTTTTGTCTCCTTTATCTTGTTCTTATTTGCCAGTAATGTTATGTTTTTGCTCCCAACACCTTTATCTTATCTGTTATTTTCTTTATCGATCGGCTGATTCGGGTCTTGTTTTTCTTTTCCCCTTTTCTTGCAGCTATTGCCAGTAGAGTTCTACTCAGGGAGAGAACAGGACAGGCTGTCCACTCTGTTTGTTCTACAAACTTCGGGTAGAGAAAACAGGAGCCAAACAATCAGGGAGCCAGACAGCTGACTTGGCCCGGGCTCAGGCCCTGCCATCAGGGTCCAGTCATGCCTTTGAACAACGGCAGACGTGTGTCGGCCAGCTGTTCTGCAAAAAGAATTTTAGGCATCTGCCCGCTGGAAACAGGATGCCGGGCTGAATGGACCTTGGTCTGAGTCAGTTAGACAGTGATTCTATTCCTGATTCTGGAAGTCCGCTCCACGCCGTGGGGATTCTTTGGAGATGATCTCCAAAAGTGGAAGGTCACGAACGCTGTTCTTGGAGGGGGCGCTGAAAAGCACAGCTTTAGCCACCCCACCTTCTTTCTTTCTGTGAAATATATAATTCTAGCATGAGACCTTGCTGCGAATGTCCTGTTGATATTGGCACTTCTTACCCCCATTGCTGAGTGAATAAACACAGTGTTCAGATTCCAGCGTCTGTGGCTTAAAATACCCTCCTTTTTTCCCTCCCCTTAACTCCCCAGAAAGCACAGCATGTGTGGTTTCTGGTCTTTTTTCTTTCTTTCCTAGTGACCTCAAGGATTTCAAGATTCAGAGGACAAGAAAGAGCTGCTGAACTTGAATGAATAGCCCAAATGTTAAATGCAACTCAATTCTGTCCTGTATGCAGTTCTGGTCACCCAGTCTCATAAACGATACTGTAAGGTGGCGAAACCCTGACCTGGATAGCCCAGGCTAGCCTGATCTCGTCAGATCTCGGAAGCTAAGCAGGGTCGGCCCTGGTTAGTATTTGGATGGGAGACCTCCAAGGAATATCAGAGTTGTGATGTGGAGGCAAGCAATGGCAAACCACCTCTGAATGTCTCTTGTTTTGGGGAAGGGCTGTGGCTCAGTGGAAGAGCCTTTGCTTTGTGTGCAAAAGGTCCCAGTTTCAATCTCCAGCATTTCCAATTGAAAGGACCAAGCAGGAGGTGATGTGAAAGACCTTTCTCTGCCTGAGACCCTGGAGAGCCACTGCTGGTCTGAGTAGACAATACTGACCCTGATGGAGCAAAGGTCTGATTCAGTAGAAGGCTGCTTCATGTTGGGAGAAAAAGCCTTGGCACTGTCTCAGCCTCAGACTCCAGAGAGGGGGTCTTACAAGACAGACAGGCAGACAAGCAAACTGTGGGTTCCCTCCTGTTTACTCTTCTGCCTCTGTCCCTTTGATGTGAGAAATTGCCTTCTCCCTTCCATTCTCTTTCTCCCACACAGACAAAGAAGGAGCACACTGCTCTCCATCTTTGGCACTATGGGTGCAAAGTGTTGGGATTCTTTTTGAGTAAGTCAGCAGAGTATTAAGAGACTGAGTCCATGGTGTGTTTTAAAATATAAAAGATTACTATAAACCTAACATGGGAAAAAGGTACACAGGATATGAAAATAACAAAGAGCTAATATGGCTACATCCTTACAGCTAAAAGGTTCATGTTGCTGGAAGAAAAAGCCTTGGCACTGTCGCAACCTCAGACTCCAGAGAGGGGGTCTTACAAGACAGACAGTTAGGCAGACAAGCAAACTGTGGGTTCCCTCCTGTTGCCTCTGTCCCTTTGATGTGAGAAATTGCCTTCTCACTTCCTTCCGTTCTCTTTCTCCCACACAGGCAAAGAAGGAGCACACTGCTCTCCATCTTTGGCACTAATGGGTGCAAAGGCACTCTCTCCATCTGCACCCATCCTAGGTAGAGTAGTTAGATCCTATACCTATCTCTCATCTTCACTATCCTAGAATGGACTACCAGAATAAAGGTTTCTTAGTACTTGAAACTTGCTCTGTGCAACTTTGTAACTTTAATAGCACACACTCAGAACAAAGAAAGCTTCTGCTGGGTTTAGATGCAGTGCACTTTGCAACTCTGAGACAGATTCCTGGCTTACCGTACCAGAAGGTCCGACAGGTTATGGGCCCAGCACGCGTATGTGTTCATGTGTATGTCTTGAAAAC